CAGACTCTGGAAGGTCAGCATTCATAATAATGACGCTTATTAGAAGTTGAGTTAAATTATTCAAAATCAGTTTGATACAGCAATCACACCTCTACAATCAAAGTAATGGCTTGCTTAAAAAAAATTTAAAAAAACATACCTCCATGCTTGTATACAGTGAGTTCTTTCACAGTGTCAACAAACTGCCAGAATTTCTCATTCCCATCTTCTCCAATAAACTCGCTGCACAGGAGAAAATGAAAGTCAGCAACCACAGTATCTAAGTAACCATTTTCTGACTGCCCAACAGCTCAAGCTACAGACCACATAATCATTTCAAATTTTCTGGAATAATTTCACCCAATATCAGCATCATACAGCATTACACAGACATCATAAACATGCAGGAAGCTCTGATGTTAAGAGGAATATTTACACACAAACAAAAATCACAGGCTGATGGCCAAATCGTGTATTAAAAGTGCAAATAGAAAACTTTGTACATGACTATTTTTTAAATGGTGTTGTAATTGATAAATAGATGGTAAAACAACAAAATTACATATGGATGCCGTTTACTGAAAGTCTGTTATAGACTTGAGGAAACACATTTACCAAGTTGTTGGGTCTTTTATAATGGAATCCATCATTTTGACTGATAAAAGTCAACGTAAGAATCATTTTTCAACAATTATTATACAATTACGGGAAGCCACACTCTGCAGTTGTTCCCATCCTCTACAACAGGGGTGTCGAACTGCGGTCCTCGAGGGCCGCGATCCTGCATGTTTTAGATGTTTCCCTCTTCCAACACACCTGATTCAAATGATCAGCTCATCATCAAGCTCTGCAGAAGTCTGATAACGATCCTGATCATTTGAATCAGGTGTGTTGGAAGAAGGACACATCTAAAACATGCAGGATTGCGGCCCTCGAGGACCGGATGTCGACACCCCTGCTCTACAACATAACACAATAAGAACTGCCAAGTAACAAAATCATGTTCTATGTGAGTTATTTTTGTATTTATTGCCAGATATATTGAGGTCGTGTCCTGTGTATTTACTGTGGGAATATGGATGTCTGAACAGCCTGGGGAGAGTTTGTGTTCTACAAGAACTTATACATAGTGGCCATTTTATACACAAATTCCAGACTTTTTTTAGACTCAACAGATTTGGCTTAGACTAGTTGGATTACATTACAACTGGAGAGTCGCCTGAATCAACAACATTAAGAGCGCAACTAATGATTATTTTCAATATATTAGTTTATCTGCAGACAATATTTCCAGTTAATCATTTGGTCTGCAAAACAACTGAAAATGATGAAAATGTCCCTCATGTTATCCAAACCCAGAGTTTTTAACTTAAAATAACACAAGACCAAAAAAAATGTATAAATGATTACAGGTGAGAACCTGAAAAAATCCAACGTTGTGCATTTATATGATTTTTGACAATTAGGCAATCATAAAAAGAAGTTTAATGGATTAATCAACTAATGGTTGCAAAAGTAATACATTAAAAAAATCAATACATAAAATAATTTCAGTCTACTGGCAGGTTCATTTTATGAGAAGGTTATAGGGTGGAACTGAAACAAGTAATTGATTAAAATAAAAAATAAATCATCAATTATGCTGATAATCAGTTAATCACTTCAGTTATAGAATAGAATAGAATAGAATAGAATAGAATAGAATAGAATAGAATAGAAAAACTTAATTAATCCCAGACCTGGGAAATTGTTTTGTTACAGCAGCAAAAAGAAAACACCAAATCACAACAACTTAGAAAATAGAGTAAATTAAGTCTATAAAAGTAGAATAACAACAAAAGGACTAAAGTGAGGCAGATAACGAGCAGAATGAGTATTTCAAAACTGCAACTTCAACAGAAATGTGCAAGTTGAGTTAACTTTGCAGTTTGTATGAAATTAAACAATACAATGAGTATTGTAGTTACGGTTGGTTCTTATACAAAATGAGTGGGCTACTTCTAGCTGCTTGTGAGAAATTCTGTGTAAATTGAAGATTTTTAGGTGTTGGACTGTTCCTGAGACATTGTGATGGGCATTATTGCATGAGTTTTTGATATTTTTTATGGTAATGATTAATAATTAAAAAATACAATAAAACAGCAGTGTATGCAATGATACAAACAATGTATAGCTGTAACCTTCCTAAAGGGTGCATATGGGGGCTAGGACTCATGACCTCAGTCTGGCTGCGGCCCTGTTCATTGCAGATTAGTTTGAATGGCACACATGCACTCCCAGGGGGGAAAAGAACCGTACCTTGTCTCCAGGAGGAAAGGTGTCATGCTCCACTTGGCTTTAAGACTGGCAGTGACGCCTTTGGGTGCTGATATAACATGATGTATGTTCAGCAGCAGCAGGGACAGCACAATAAAGCTCCTCATTATCGCGACGGAACATGAACCTGCGGCGGTTGAGAGCAAACACAACGCTGTCAGTTTAGCTCCTCGGGCTTTTGAGTCAGTGCCACGTAGTTACTGTAAGTTATTATCTCAACCACAAAACCGGTGCAAACAGACGTCTTTTAAAAACTCTCGCAAATTCTGACAGCGGGAGCTGCTAGCAACATGAGAGCTTTATGTTGGCTAGCTGGACCTACTAATAAAAATAACGGTCGTTAGAAGGGTCACACATAACAGACTGAAGTTAACTTAGCTGCAGACTACAAGTAAACAGCCTCGCCGTGAACTAAAACAGCACAGTAGCGTGATTTGGCTAACAGAGACAGCAAACACGGCTTGCTACAGATATGCAGCCGTGTACTTTACAAGGACATAGCTTCTGTTTACCGTGTTACCAATAATATAGCTCTCACCCCGGTGGTGATGCTGACCGCTTCCATACAAAGCAAAGGGCTTCAGGTAGGTATTTTGGGCAGCTAGCAGCCCGTACAGCTAGCAAGTTGCCGGGGTTGCGGTGTATCGAGGTGGCTCCTGCGGACTGTTATTCGTCCCTGAAACAACCACAAGATAAGAAAAAAAAATCACGGCATATAATCGTTTTCAGACACTGTGCTCACGTGGTTCATAACGACACATTAAGTGACAGTCACTGTATAATTATTTAAAATCTGGTGATAAAATTGGATATCAATCAGGCACAGTAACAGACAGCTAAAGAGACAGACGCTGACGCTGAAACATTTTCCTGCGAAACACCACAGCATGTTGAAGCTGCACTGCTGTGTACTGAGTGATTATGTGTACGTGTTACACTGGGTAGCCAGTTCCTTCTGCTTGTGAATGAAAATACTAATTATTATTATTATTATTATTATTATTATTATTATTATTATTATTCACAATTTAATATACTTAAATGGCATTAAT